TAGATAAGAAAGAGGACCTAGAATTTATATACGATCAAGAACATGACAGAAAGTTATTTCTAGGGCCAGAAGATAAGAAATACAGGAAGAAGGTAATTCATTTAATGACCTTTTTTTTCCTGAATTTAAAAACTACCTTTTGCTGCTTTTTCATTATTGAGCTTTATTTTTGCTTTAATACTTTTTACATTATTATCTTTTTTAATTTTACAAAATTTTGATAAAGAAATTTAAAAAGAATAATATCAAATAATTATAACAATAATAATAATAATAACAATAATATTAATAATATTAATGGTGCATGTTGTTTAGATTTTAGAGAATACAAGAAAAAGAAATTCATCTAAAAAAGATGCTGCAAAATTACTGGAAGTAAGGAATTCATAGTTGGAATTTAGTCCAACATGAGACCCGAGCGAAGATTCATCGTTTGATTTAGATTATGACCCAGGATATTGGCGTTCTTCAGAGTTTAATAGCATAATAAAAGCTGAGATTCCAAAAGGTATTCTTTCTGGTAATGTTGCCCTAATAGCTACAGTTACTGATTTTTCTCCCAATGCTTTTACAAAAGTTACGGCTGCAATCTTTAATAGTTGTAGCGTTGATCTTGAAATTGTTGAAATGTAAGTTGCAGCAGTTCGACAGCATCTAGAAAGATGAAACAAACAGCTCAAGAAATAGCAGCTATTGCTAAAGAAGATGTCATACTTAGCATCCAAGCATCTCCCTACCCATGCATTGTTCATTTTGATGGAAAAACACTAATCGAAACCAATAATGGAAAAAAACTTAAGAATGACAGACTAGCTGTTCTGGCAACCATCGATAAGGAGTCACATCTTCTCGGTGTTAAGCCATTAGCCTCTTCATCTGGGGAAGATCAGTACAATGGAGTGATGAAACTACTAAAAGAGTAAAATCTTGAATCAAAGATTGGATTACTTTGCTTTGATACAACATCAAGCAATACAGGTATACATAAAGGATCTCTAGTAAGAATATCTACTGCACTTAATAAGTATCTAATTCTCTTAGCTTGCAGACATCATGTTTCTGAGTTGAGAATCACACAATTCTGTGAAGCTGTAACAAATGAAAAAACTACGGCGCCTGATAATCTTCTGTTTAAACAATTCAAAAACATGTTTGAGCAGCCTAATTTCAAGTATAAACTATCTTTGCTAGTTAAATTTTCATGGGATGAAGTTAAAGGAACTGTTGTTGAAAAAGCTGCAATAGAATCTCTTGACTATTGTAGGTTTTACTTATCAAGAAATGATATTGCAAGGGAAGATAGAAAAGAGCTAGCAGAGCTAGTAGGCAGCTATCTCTCTGCTTCTAACATTAAAATTAAAAAGACTGGAGCTATTCACCATGCAAGATTTTTAGGGAAATCTATATACTATTTAAAAATACAATTTCTTTCAAATCAGATTGATTTTCTTCTAAAAAGTAAAGAACATATTAAAATAATAACATAATTTAAAGCTTGCTTTTATGCAAAGTGGTATCTGCAATCAAATGATACAATCAAAGCTCCTTACATGGATGTTACTGCCATTCATCAAATGCATCAATATAAAACAGTATGTGCAGAACCAGATGCTGTAAATGCTGTGTTGAATTCTTTATTCAAACATACATGGTATCTAGATTCAATTCTGATTTCTTTAGCTTTGCTGGATGATGACGTTACACTTGAAGACAAGAAAAAAATTGCTGCTGCAATATTATCATATCCAAAACCAATGCCATGCTATTTTAAAACAAAAAATAAACAGAACAAAGACATAAAAAAAATGTTAACACTTGAACTAGACATTCATCAGCAGCCTCCTAGCTTAGCTCCTTTGGTTGACAAATTTTCCTGGGTAATGTTTGAGATGGTTGGAATAGATGAACAACGAATTGAGGACTGGCTGACCTTGCCACCTCAGTATTGGCACACGCAATTATCGTTTAGATTATTTCTAAAATTTGCAAAAAGTATTGTTTGTGTAAATGACCATGCCGAGAGGGCTATTGGAATGATGCAACAATTTGTTCACCGCTACAGAGATGAGGAAGAAAAACAAAATAGACTTATTACTGTAGACAAAGTTCGTTCAATTCTCAAGGCATCAGACAGCGAATCGTTATCAACCAATAAAATAAATAAGCAAGTATTAAGCAAGAAAAGAATAACAGATGGATTACTTAACATACGCTCCAAAATATAGAAAATGAATTGAAACATGTTACAAAAAGTTTGTATCATTCAATCAACTTTTATTTTATTCTCGAAAGATTAAAATAAAATTAAATTTCTTTTTGAGACGTTGAACAATGTGATAATATATAAGTCATATAAATGCAGAATTATTATGCATTATTTTGTTAAAAGCGTGTTAAAACTTTTTTTTTGCGTATTTTTTTGCAAAATCTTTTTTTTATTTAAACAACAATTATGAAAAAACCAGTATACACAACAAACTAAAAAAAAAGTTTGGACCATTATGAGCAAAATATAAAAAAAAAAATTACAAAATTTGAGATTTACCTAGCGCTCAAAGCCAAATTACGTGGGAACTATTTGGGGCATTTTTCGGGGTATTTTGCCGCTTGAGCACAAGGTATATGTCAATATTTTTGATTTTTTTTTTTTTAATCGTATTTTTTTTTGTTTGCCCCAAATTTGGCTTATTGTGTATTTGCATTTTGAAAATTTTTTTTTTGTGAACACCCCAAATATATATATATATATATATATATATATATATATATATATATATATATATATATATATATATATATATACATATATATATATATATATACATATATATATATATATAAATATATATATATATATATATATATATATATATATATATATACATACATATATATATATATATATATATATATATATATATATATATATATATATATATATATATATATATATATACAGCAACGTATCCAGGCTGAATTTGATACTGGTATACCGGTATGGCACCCAAATTTCTGCCCAAACTTAATTAAAACCATTTTGTTCTAACTCTCTAAAGCTGTCATATAAGCATTTGAGTTGGCACATTGAGTAAGTTTTGAACTATAGTTGGCAATTTGCCAATATTGAGCACCTTTTTTTTTTTTCACGCTGAAGAAATATGGAATACGTTACTATTGGATTAAATTATAAAACGCACGTTTTGATTGGATTAAAATAAGAAACGCCTATTTTATATTTTCTTAAATCCTTTTATAAAAACATTAACTTGAAAAAAAAAACTAAAAATGAATTTCTCCTTGGCTGACATATTCATAACTATAATTTACAATTCGATTAAACTCTATAAGCTTTAAACCTACTTATTTAAAATAATAGTAAAGTTGCAGTAAAAATGTAAATAAACGGTTTTAAATTATAAAATAAATAAAACTTTTTTAAAACAGAATAAAATAATCACGCTAAAAAACTTGATTTAATGAGTATGAGAAGAAGAAAAAAAAAGTTATTGATTTTGAATGAATTAATGACCTTGCTATGTTATAATATTTTATATTTTTATAACTGTAACTGTTTTATATTTTTATAAACTGTTTTGTAAACTAAATACTAATTATAGTACTAATTCGCAAATGTGTGTACGTTTAACGTATAAGAGCAAACGAAAGTGAAATTATTATCGTGTGTGAATCAAGCAAAAGCATTAATCCTAATATCAACGAACATTTACTAGATAGACATAAATATATATGTGTCACCAATATCAGCAAAAATAGGAAACAATATTTCCGTTTCCTATTTATATTATTAGGTAATAATATATAAATATATATATATATATATATATATATATATATATATATATATATATATATACATATATATATATATATATATATATATATATATATATATATATATATATATATATATATATATATATATATATATATATATATATATATGTATATATATATATATATATATATATATATATATATATATATATATATATATATATATATATATATATATATATATATATATATATATATATATATATATATATATATATATATATATATATATATATATATAAAGAGTAATAACATCAATTTATATAAGCACAAACAGCTGATAACAAGGGATGCTATTTATACTGTTTTCAGTAATTTTGTAGTTATAAAGCTTTTCTCGCAGAAGAAGCAGTAAAGAAATAAGTTTGATCTCATTCTTTACATTAGTAAGCAAATAAAAAGCATAAAGGAAAATAAGTGGCGAATTGATATTGACGTTAAATCCGTTAATATAACATTACTGATTATTTTGGTTACTTATTCCTATTTCTACTAATTGGAAAAACTAAAGTTAATTTAAAGATTCTATGTTTTTAATTGCTTTAAAAAAAAAAAAAACAGGTCCTCAAAACGCAGACAGACCGGTATGCCCAAAAAACCTCTGGATACGTCACTGATATATATATATATATATATATATATATATATATATATATATATATATATATATATATATATATGAGAAAAGCATGTTTTTAAAATTCAATACAATAATAACAATTCAATATCAAGATTTTTATTATATTCAATATTAAGATTTTTAAGAAAAGACTATTTAAATTGTGTTTTTGAACAAGTTTCTGAGTTAAGAGTGATGCTGATGATGACCTGTTAAGTCATAAATACTTTTTGATGGTACTTCTGGTCTACTGATGGTCTGTTAATTTATCATTTTTGTGTTGTTTCTAGGTCACTCTATTATTATTCATGTTAATTGCAAAGTTTGGACTCTTTGGTTTGGATACTTTTAATATATCAAAGTTGAAACAATAATGATTTTATGTTAAATGATTGCATACCTAATTAGATCAACTAAATTAATTTATCTTGATATATATATATTTTTTAAATAGTTAATATGATTTTTGTTGTTTTTATCTTCTTTTTTATGAATAATTAAATAATTATAAATTTCTTATGTTTAGTGTTGAAAAATAAATTGAATTCTGATGAATTAATTTCGAAATGTTGCGGTGAAATAAGCTATAAAATTGGAAGTGATTGGTCTCGATGGGGAAGGCACCTAGGTTTAGGTGATGCAGACCTTGACAACATTAATTCTGATCATACAAAATGTTTTGATAAAGCTGAAAATGTTTTAAAAAAATGGAAACAAATAAATGGATATCTTTCATGGGATCAGTTAAAAAAAGAGTTAATAGCTTTTAACCGTAATGATATAATAGTTGAAATTGAGGAGAAATTCAAAGGTAAAAGTAACAAAAAAATTTATAAATTTTTATGTTAAAAAAGCAAGACATAAAAGTTATAATTTTTTTATTTTTAGATCACTTACCTAGTCTAAATAAATTAAGGTAATTAAATGTCTTTGTACATTATTTATTATATATTACTTAATATTATTTATTGTATTTCAAATCATATTTTTTTACTTATATTTGCATACAGCCAAATAATTATTTTTTTTTGTTCTTGTCATGATTTTTAGCCTTTAAGAAGTTGCTATACTCAGAACAGCAATAGCAACATTGCAATAATTAATAAAATAAAATAATAATTTCCAAAATTCATGGTTTCTTTTTTGTCTTGTTAGAGTCACACCACACATTCTTCTGTTCATCATCTTTTCAGCTAATACTACGCCACATAAATAGGGGGTTGGGGAGAGTTGTCAAAATTATAGCAGTATCTTTACAGAAACACTCTTTTTAAATTAAAATGACATGTGTCTATATTTCGCATTTTTCTTGTAAAATTTCTGATTTTCTACATTTTAAGATATTTTTAAAGTTTTACAAAAAAGTTCTTAATTCTTATTGTGTATCAGGTAACATCTTTAAGATTATCAAACCCTTCCTTACCAATTTTAGTATAAAAGTTGTCCTTGATGAACAGCACTCTACTTCATATCCTGAAACTTTAGATGTTCTTTAAGGTTCTATTGTTGGTCCTACACTCTTTTTAACTTAAATTAACGATCTTCTAGATACTCACACATCTAAGGTTCACTTATTACCATTTATTTTTGTCTTGATAAGAATTCAACACTCTAATTGCTTGGAGGGGGCATTTGAGCTTGAAAAGGATCTCGTTTCTGCTACTGCATGAGACTCTCAGTGGCAGATTAAGTTGGCTCGTGAATTTAAACTCAAATATAAATTTTTTATCAACTAATTGTTATCTCCATAATCTAGATCTTTCTTTATTTTTGAACTCGATGTGTCATCTTCTATGATTAACTCCTACTTCTATGATTTACTCCTGCAAAATTAGTATCTGCTAGATTTGCATCTCTTTATTGTGCTCGCAACTTTCTTTCTCCTGATTCTACTGATGCCATATCAGATGATTGTTTAATTATAATATATATATGATGATTGTTTAATTATTAAATAAGAAAGAGGAATTCTTTTAGAAATGAACAAAGTAACAAATTTTTGATCATTTTTTTGTGTCATAGTTAGTTAGCCAAGTGTGTAACAACGCTTCAACATCTTGATTAGATAACTCAACAGATATTTGACTTGCTAGAGGTCTAGGCCTACCATTTAAAAATTAGCAAATTTAATTCTTGTACCGAAATTGATTTTATAGGTAGAAGAAACATCATCTAAAATGTTTAATAGTTTCATTGATACTTGCACAATTCAAAATTGAAAAATGTTTCATTAATATGTTGTCTTGTTAGTGTAAGAGCCATTTGTAGTTTCTCTCTTGGGTTGGCTGTAAGTTGACAAATCAATGTAGCTATGTTGATTGAAGTTGCTATATTCAATTGGGCAAATAATAATTTCTTTTCTTTATAGATTTTTAAGAAAAAAAATCTAGTGCTATTGTAGTCAATTTAAAGTTGGTATTTCAGCTTTGAACTTTACAGAATTTTATCTTGTCTTTATAGAATTTTATCTTTTCTTTACAGAATCTTATTTAATCTGCTGCCAGAAAGAATATGACTTGCTTATTTCACCATTTTTTTAAAGCATTTCAGGGATTCAATCCAATTATCTATTTTCCTTAGAGAAATGACCTCACAATCTTGAGATTTTAACATTATAATAAAACAGTTCAGGAATTTGATCATATCACTTACTTACTTTATGAAAATGAACTAGCAGCGTAGAGATTTGAACATCCGTGGTTATCAAATCTCTAAGAAAATTCATCAAATTTCGGGTTTCATTATTTCCCTGCAACATAACCATATATATCCATATTATATGTCAGTAATTAGTAAATATGCCAGTATTTATAATATTAAAATACTTTATATGTTATAATATATAATGTATTTAATTTTTATTAGCCCTGGCTACCATAAAAATTTAAATATAAGCAATAATATTAAATATATGTAATAAATTCACCCAAAATTAACAGGCTGCAGATAGATAAAAGCTTTAGTTATTTTAATTAATAACTAAAAATAAATAAAATACTAATAATAAAATAACTAAAATGATTGTGTTTTTAGGAAGAAGAAGAAGAAGAAGAAAAACAAAAAGCAAAACAAAAGGTGGGTGAAGTGGTGTTAAAAACATCATGAATGAATAGTTAGGAGATTTAAACCTGATTTTGTTACATATTGGTAAACTAGTTTGTATGTATATGTTAAAGCCAACAATGTAACTATCAAACAACCTTGTAACTATTAGACAACCTTGTAACTATTAGACGATCTTGAAATTATTAGATACAAGTCATTATATGTCAGTATATGTATGTCTATATATATATATATATATATACATATATATATATATATATATATATATATATATATATATATATATATATATATATATATATATATATATATATATATATATATATATATAGATATATAGATATATATATATATATATATATATATATATATATATATATATATATATATATATATATATATATATATATATATATATAGATATATATATATATATATATATATATATATATATATATATAGAGGGAGATATATATATATATATATATATATATATATATATATATATATATATATATATATATATATATATATATATATATATACATAGTAAGCTATTGCGATATTCATAAAAGTCGATATTGTCGATACTACGATATTACATAAACACAGTATCGAACTTCGATATTGAAACTGGATATATTTTTACTGAATTTCGAACTTATCGATATTCAGTTCGATATTTTACAATATTATACGATATTAAACGAGATTCTAGAATTTTAGAATGCTATTTTTGTGTTCAAGACCCATTTTCTCTAATTAGAGGAATTTGAAGGGTCTAATACCGTAAGTTATCTTCAATATTTGAAATATGTTTTAGCAATTTGGAAAAAAAATTATAGCTCAATTAATTGTATATTTTTTCATAAACAGTTTTACAAAACAAAAATTAGTCTATCGCGTCAGCTGATGAAACATTTTCTTCCTCAATTAGCCATTTTTTAATAGTAACTTTACTAATGTTGATTTTAACATACACAAGTTTTTCTATTGTCTCGGCTTTTAGTAAAGTTCTTTTACATGACACAATATTTCCGGCTTGTGAAAACATACGCTCTGAAGAAGTTGATGACGCTGGGACACACAAGACTTTTCTAGCAGCTCTAGACAAAATTGGAAGTTGAGGTGAATGAGTTTTCCACCATTCCAAAATATTGTAATTTTTATCTGGAAATCCAAGCCTCTTGTAAGCTTCTAGTTCTATATCAAATGGAGAATTTTTTGATGATCTGTAAAGCTCAGAGGCATTAGAATCCTGACCCATCATTTCAAAAAGAAGTTGTTCGGCAGGAGACAAATCTTGTTTGGGTGACACTGTTTGTGTTGTATTTTCAATCAAATTTGATGGTTGCTTTCCTATTGAAATTTCTTTTAAATCTCTGAGTGCGACATCGTCTTGGCCAAACCTTGTCAAAAGGAGACCCTTAAATTTGGGATCAAGTAAGTGAGCTAAAGCATTGTTTTTTTGTCTTGAACCACAGTCTGGAAATCGTTTGTTAAGATTTGAAAGGAGTTTAGAAACAAAGTCTCCTGTAATTTTGTCATTTGGCAGTATAAGCTTTTTAACATTCTCTTGAATATCAAACAGTCCTGGAACAACTCTCTGAGAAGTTTGGATTTTTTCAGATGAAACAACCTCTGTAAAATCATTAAACAGTTTCATGATCGGCACTACTTTTTCAATAACATCATACTCATCAGAAGATGGAATTAAAGCCCTTTAAAATGTCGTCCGTTTTAAAGGTTGCTGCTTGCAATTATTTCAAGAGCTAATCGTAAATGTAATATTGAATCCATGCACATAAAACCACTATTCCAACGTGTAGGACAAGGAGAAATAATTTTATTAAATTTGATTTTCTCAGGTATGACATCATTACATGCTTCCATAATTCTCTGTTGACTGTTGATTGATTTGTGAGTTCGTGCTGAGAGTGTTTTGCACACCTTGAAATAAAAAATTATTTTGGTTAAAAAAAATATATAAACAAAAAAAAACATAGGATTTGAAAGTTATTCATTTGTTGGTTGCACCTTTATGCAGGTAAATGGTATTGATGCATTCTTTAAAATTTTTTACTATTGAGAAAATAGACTATCGCATTTTTCATAGTTTTGTAAACAAGAGGAGAAAATGACTAAACATTTTTTTTACCTGAAAAACTTTTTCAATCTCATAGACTTCTTTGACAGATTCGATAATAACAAGGTGAAGTAAATGTGCAATGCAGGAAATACTTTCATCAATTTTGGCCAATTTTTTTATCCCAGATATCATGTTTGCTGCACTATCTGTGACAGAAGTCATTTTACAACCATTATTGAAAGGTAGAACAGAAACTAATGTGTCTGTTTTAATTGAAATATTGTCACCTGTGTGGCTGTCTGGAAAAGCATTACAGCCCAGCAAAAATGTCTTTAGTTCAAAGCCAGTTGTAATATAATGAAGCGTCAAGGCTGCAAATGACTCATTGCTTTTGCTGGACTAAAGATCTGAAGTAAATCCAACTTCATCTACATCTTTTAAGTCATGTGTTAAAACATTAAGAACTGCCTCAAAAACATTAGAATAAAGGATTGGAAGTTTGTTTCTTGAATATGTTGATGGTGCTCTAATAATAATTTCTGGACGAAGGCTTAATAAAAAGTCTTTAAAAGCAGGTGATGAAACATGTTGAAAAGCTAAATTTCCCATGCACAAATATTTCACAATATCCAAGTCAGCTATTAACTGTCGCTTGTCGTTTGTTCTATATTTTGTCACAACCTTGCAATACGATGAAATGTCGATCTTTACTCTTTTTACACTTAGAGCTATTGGCCCATGAGTGTCCAAAATTGATTCTTGTGCAAGCTGCTCAGCTGTTGTTTCTTGTGCTCGTTTTAAATTTTCTTTCCCAATGTTGAGAAAAATTTCATTATGACAACCTCTGATGTGAACCTTCAAACCAGTCGTAGTGCTCTGTTTGGTGCCTATTTGTGTTGGGCATAGCTTACACTGAGCAATATCTTTTTTTGGTGTGTCTCTTAAAAAATACGCCCAAAAGGGACTTACTCTTGGCATTTTCAACAAAAAATATCACAACTTTTCTCACTTATAACTTCTATTAGTAACTAATTTTGAAAAAAATATTTATAAGGTTATATCAAAAGTATTTGAGTATTGAACAAAAATTAAGACATCAATTTTTGGTAAAGCTACAGTTAAGCGGCCTAAAATAAATTTACTGTTTCGCTTTTTGCGCTCTCGTTTGTAGAGACTTTAAAATATTAACAAAATATAAAAGCAAAGAAGATTTATTTTATTCTAATAAGAGCAAAGTAAATTTATTGTTTAGAAATAAGTTGTTTGCAGAATTTAATGTTTTATGCTTTATTTTATATATTGTTTTCTTATTATTTTTTTTATATTATTTGCTATTATTTTTATTTTATTTTATTACTATTATATTATATTTTATTTATAAAAATATATTTATTATTATAATATCAAAACTTTGATTATAATTTACCTTGATTATAATTTAATTTGATTATAATTTGATTATAATTATTATATTTAATAATTAAACTTTGATTATAATTTACTTATAATTTACTTTGATTATAATTTATATTTACTTTGATTATAATTATTATTTATTTACCTTCAACTTTAATATAAAACTTCAACTTTTAATTAAATCTTTTAATTTCAAATTCACAACCCGTAACATTTATTATTACATAACATAATTAAGTTTCGCTTTAAAAATACGCTCCATTGTGTTTTTAAAAAGCGAAAAAATATAATTATTTTAGGCCGCTTAACTGTAGCTTTACCCAATTTTTAATTTACACTTAATTTTTAGCATTTTTAATTACTTTTCAGTTTGGCGGGAAAGTTTAACTGGGAAATTTTAGGAGGAACAGTTTAGAGTATAACAGTTGATTTTTATTAAAGTTTGAATATTAGTATCGATATTTTAGTTTGAATATCGAGAATCTTTCGATATTGCTGTGAAAGGATATCGAATAATATCGAAACTTCGTTATTATTAAAAAAATTACAATATCGACAATTCAATATCGAACCTGGTCAAAATGTCGATATTTTAGCATGTTTCGATACTACGATACTGATATCGCAATACTTTAATACATAGATATATATATATAGAGATAGATAGATGGATGTAATTATAATTGATTTTTTATTATATTCAGAATAAATCTCAAGTTAAAGAAATACATTATTTTAAGGAAAAAAATTTTTTTTTTTGAAATCATAAAGAAGAAAATTTAACTAAGAACTTATTATATTTTTATTATTATTGCAAATGTTCATTGAATTATAACAGTATATGTTTATTAGAAAATAAGGTATAACTGTATATGTTGAAACACAAACCTTTAAAAATCTCTGTTTAAAAACAAAGTCAAAGTTTCTACTCACCCCCTCCCCCCTCCCAAAAAAAAAAGTGTTTTAATAACATAAAACATATATATATATATATATATATATATATATATATATATATATATATATATATATATATATATATATATATATATATATATATACATATATATATATATATACATATATATATATATATATATATATATATATATATATATATATACACATATATATATATACATATATATATATATATATATATATATATATATATATATATATATATATATATATATATATATATATATATATATATATATATATATATATAGATAGATAGATAGATAGATAGATAGATATAGATATATATATATATATATATATATATATATATATATATATATATACACATATATATATATATATATATATATATATATATATATATATATATATATATATATATATATATATATATATAGATAGATATAGATATAGATATAGATATAGATATATATATATATATATATATATATATATATATATATATATATATATATATATATATATATATATATATATATATATATATATATATATATATATATACCTATAGTAAAGAGCTTAGATATTAATGTTAGATTATAAAAAATCGCATTATTCTAACTGAGGAAACTAATAAAATTTAATGTTTTTCTAAAAAACCACAAAAAGTCAAAAACATTCTGAATGTTTTTAAATTATTTTTTTTTAAATATAAAGATACACGAAGTGTTGCTATATCAACTATGTTATAACCTGACTTGCAACCGAGTGCTGCTAAATTAACTGACAAATAGCCTCACTTGTTATTTATATTTATATATACATATTTAATTTTTTTTGTTAATTATAAAGTACTGGGTCAAGATTTTTTTCAAATAATTTACTTTAGAAACGAAACTTTGAATTTTGATTTGTCTGAGCAATTGAAAATTAAATTAAAAAATGGTGAGTCTTTTTTTTATTTGTTTTTACTTTCGGAAAAATTAAAAAAAAATAATTTTTATGTTATTAAAAATAGTTGTGGAAATGTGGAAAAAGTATTAAAATGCTCAATTTTTATTTATTATAAAGTCCTAATACCCTAAAAAAGGTCAACATGTTAAAAATGGTAGTATGGTATTTTAAACATTTTTTTAGCAGTATTTTCACTGCATACCAAAGAGACCACTTGTTTAAAGTAGTAACACTCAAATAAAACCTGGTTTAGAAAAATAAGTTTTTAAAATCTGTATAATGTGCTAAAAAGTGTTAAAAATAGAACTAAAGGATGTCTGAAAAGGGGTTTTGCAGCCATTAAACTTGGAATTATGGCTTTATTGAATTTATGTTACATATCTCTTAACCTTGTCAAACTTGGTCTAAAATTTCAATAATTACTTTCTCTAAATTGTCCGACAAAGTTACCTAATCCTTGGCTATAGTGTTCGACATACATCTGTATGTGACATGATTTTATGAGAATTTTTCCATGCTGTTTTTGCTTTTTCTAAATTTAATGCAACCTCATTTGCTGAACAAAATGAATTCTTTTAGTTTGTTATTGCGTTTTTGAAGCCGTTTTGCTACTTGTTAAAAAAAATTTAATGTAATGAAACAATTAGAGTCAAACAAGTAAATGAGTCTAAAGTTTTTAAAAGAACTTAAGTTATCAAATGATTTTTTAAAATTGTTGAATGACATTTTTTACCTAAGCCAATATAAAAAGTTTCCTAGCATTGAAACAATGTCGATTAACAAAGGAAGTAAATGGGTCTAACGTTTGGGTCTAAAGAGAAATCATTTTGTTTTTATCGGTGACTGAAGTAATTATTTTCTAATTTAAAAACCGATTTATACTCAATTTTAGTTTTGAGAAGTTTTTGTTGATTACAAGTAAAAATTATTTAACAAGAGAAAAGAAGGGGGTGTCGTTTACACATGTTTACACATTTTAAAGCCCTACATCTTACTTATTTGTATAATTTGTTTATCATTCATTTTAATTTAATTAAAGAAGCCCTACTTCTTACTTGTTTATATAACTTATTTATCATTTATTTGAATTTAATTAAAAAGCCCTACATCTTACTTGTTTGTATAATTTTTTATCATTTTATTAATTTAAGGACTTTTTTTTTAACTGGCTTTGTTTTGGCAAACTATAGCACCATTATTACAAAATGAAACCCATAATAATGTGGCATTCAATAATCACATTTACTTATTTGTTTTATGTCAATATATTCTAGTGGTAAAGTTATAGAGACTTGCAAGTGAGAAATACTAATTTCATTTACGACTTTGTTCTTGTTAGTTTTATAGAAGGTAACTTCACTTAACCCTAGTTGAGAATTTTTTTATAAGTAATTTTAACTTAAAATATTTATCAAGGGAATGTCAAGGGAAGTCAATTGTATAATAATAATAATACAAATAATAAAAATTGTGATAATAATAACTATGATGATTGATTGATTGATATTTATTATAACAAAGTATAAATACATGTTCTAAAGGACACAAAGGCCCATACAAAGATGGACACTAACAACGTGCCCTAAGAAATTTAAAAATATTGCTACAAAAAAAAAATAAAATAACAAAACTATAAAGAAACAAATAGTTGTTCCTTTTACAATAGATATTCAAAAGATATAGAAGTCAAAAGATTTAATTTTATTTTTGAACATTAAAATGTTATTTGCATTTACAGCCTCTGAGGTCATATTGTTCCATATGTCAACAACTCGGTTAGAAAAGCTATTATTTCTTAAATCCAAGCGACAAGATTGTTTGCTTATTTTATAATTATGACCCCGGGTGTGGCTGTTATTGTCAATTGCAAAAAACATAGATTGATCCGTACAGACAAGTTTACGAAAAATTTTAAAGCAAGTTACTTAGTCGTTTTTAAGGCGTCGAACTTTGAGTGATTCGATACCAAGCAACTGTAATCTATTATGATAGGAAAGATTTCTGAGGCTCCTTATTTTTTTTGTAAATTTTTGTTGAACACTTTCAACTGATTTAATCAATCCAATTTGGTGTGGCGACCATACTGGAGAACAATATTCTAAAATTGGTTGTATATAGGTAGTGAAAGCTCTAACTAGGATACAAGGGTCACGTGTTTTAAAACATTTTAAAATTAAGTATGCTCTAGAGTTAGTTTGATGGATGACATTAAAAATATGTTTTTTATAATAAAGGTTACAGTCCATTGTTACTCCTAGATCTTTTGGGTTTGAAGACCAAACCAAAGAATATTCACCTAATTTATAGTTAACCTTTATACCTTTGCATAATGAGGGAGGTGCTATTCTAAGTGCAAAACACTTACTACAAGCAATTGTTAGTTGCCAAGTTTCTGCCCATTGTAAAAGTCTATTTAAAGCAACAACAGAATCTTCGCTTAGATCCATATCACGGTACGAACTATATAACTTTATATCATCTGCGTAAAGTTTTACACAACAGTCAGGTTATTAGCTATAGCGGTTAAATCATTAACATATAATAAAAACAATGTGGGACCTAACACACTAACCTGTGGAACTCCACTAACAATGTGTATAGAGTTTAATATAGAATTACCGACATTGACTTGTCGGTGAGAAAAGCAAAAATCCAATTTAAAAGATTTCCTTTTATGTTATAGGATGCAAGTTTTACTAATAGTTTGGTATGCGAGACAGAGTCAAACGCTTTTTGGAAATCAATATAGATAACATCCGTTATTCGATGGTTATCAAGTGCAGTGTTCCAATCATTAGCAGATTTTAAGAAATTTGTACTGATTAAACGTTTGTTAAGGAAACCATGTTGATTAAGAGAAATTAAATTATGAGGACCTAGATACTTTATGACATACACATTGATCATTCTTTCCATGACTCGACAGCAAGTGCATGTCAGTGAGATGGGTCTATAATTATTTGGATCTGCAGTAGCTCCTTTTAGATACAAAAGCTTGGCGCCATTGTTTAGGTAAAAAACTTGACTTAAAACTGGCATCAAATATAAATGAGAGTGGAATACACAATAGATGAGCTAATTTTGTATGTTAAGTATGTTAAGTATGTTAAGTATGTTAGGTATGTTATCAGGACCGTACAATGTGCTGGCTTTAATTTCCTTCAAAGATTTATACACTGCTTCTGGTGGAAACAGTACAGTTTCAATACCAATTGAATCATCAACATAACTATTAATAAATGGAGAGGAATTGTTATCATTTGTAAAGACGCTGCCAAAATGTTTGTTAAACACATCAGCGATTTCTTCGTTACTACAAGTTATCTTGTTATTATTGTTTTTGTCTTTTAGAGGAAAAATACTTAGAGTTATTTAATTTTCTATTAACGTAATTAAAAAATTTGCTGATATTGTTTTCCTTTACAAGTTTAAGTTCGACTCTCATTTGGTAAGTAAGTAATGATTTTTTACATTTACTGGCGTATTTGTTATATGCTTTTTTGTGTGTAATGTTTTTAGTATTTGACCATCTTTTCCATAAGAAAGCTTTACGATTTAACATTTTCCCAATAAAACTCGGGTATTGTTTTATTTTTTTATTAAGATTACTCTTTCTAATGGAAACAAATTGATAAATACCATTGCAAAAATGATTGGAGAAAACATTCCAATAATCTTCAACTGTAAAAACAAAAAGAAAAATTCGAAGTCCCAATTAATATTTAATAAATAAGACTGAAAACCATCAATGTCGGCATTAACAAAGTTGTGGAAGGATTCAATTTTTTTATTCAACTGATCAAGATCATTTATATTAATAGAGAAGTGGACAGTGTTATGGTCACTGGTGCTGGAAGGACATTCAACTGAAATGAGACTAAGAAATGAGATATTATTTGAAAATACAAGATCAAGAATATTGTTTTCACGGGTAGGTTCCTGTACAAATTTGTGCAAAACTGAGACTGTTGACTAAATTTAAAAAAAGGATATGGCACTTTTCGTTTGGTGATACATAATTAAGCCAGTCCATTTTAGGAAAATTGAACTCACCAACAATAACAAATTGAGATACAGAGTGACATAGATTATATATAAATGCAGTCATAAGTTCGATATAAGCCACATCGGCAATGGAGTAAAAAGGTAGGCGATAGCATGTGATTAAACGGAGATTGTGCAAACTAAAAATTAAGTCTATGCAGGCGATGTCAATATCTGTGTCCGTTTGAGTTATTTGTACTTGTTCCGATTTAATGTCATTTCTACAATAAATAGCTACTCCCCTTCCAATTTTAATGCAGTTCTTACGATAGATTGAGTAATCTTTTGGAAAAACAATAGAGTCAGATGTTTTACTGGTGAAAAATGTTTCGCAAATACAAATTATGGCAGGTTTATTTGCCTCCGTAAACATTAAAAATTCATGCAGCTTATTTGCAAGGCTTTTAGTATTTAAAAGATATACAGAATTTTTTGAATAAGGATTCGAAGAGCACTCATTATTACTATTGCAGCCATTATTGGTATTGCCGTTTATTAAATTTAAATTGATTAGTTTATTGCGACATTTTTTTGTACAAATTATTTTGTCTGGTTTACTCAATTTAGATATAAGATATTCACAACTAATAGATGACGAATTTGCAAGTTCTGTTGCACAATGACTCATATGACTTAATTTCCTGTTGTTAAAAAGGAGTTTTTAACAACATGAAAAAATGGTAGAGATTTTAACAACTCTGTCGTTTCTAATACCATAATAATTTAGCAAAGATTCTGAACTTTCTAAATTATTTTCTTTACATTCATCTCATAACAACTTTGCTTTATATCTTTTTGCCTTGGTTAAATCAAGGTTAATATAAACGTTTTTAAACTTACTCAAATTTTTTCATAATTTTGCAGCTTTTAAAATTGAATTGCGATCAGTCTTATTATTTAAAACAATAACAAAAGGTGGTTGGTTATCTGTTTTTGATTTGAGTTTTATAACCTGCTTAACTTCGACTTTCAGATCAATTGAATTCAAAACTTGATTGAATTTTTATCCTTCTTAATTGCACTTGATTTATCAATTGCTTTCGATGGATTAATGCCAAATGATATTACATTATTTTCACATTTTTCTTTTTCCTTTTTTTTGGCTGTAACAAAATTTATTTGGTTTAGTTGCTCTACCGTTTTTTTTACTGGGGTTTTTCCACTTACAACAGTTGCCCACGATAATAAAGGTGATGATTTGACAGATTCCTCATTTTCGAGCATTCCTCGATGATCCTATTTAATGCTTTTATTAGTTTTTCTTTCTCTGCTTTGAATACATTAAATTCTGTTGACTGAACATTCACCATAGTTAGTATGCTATGCAAATATACTTTTTTCACGAAAAGTTACAAAGTATAGTTAACTTTATTTGAATTTTTCCGTAAAATTTTTTTTTTATGAAAAGCTTTTATAATATGTCCGATCGCTATAAAAGTCCAAAAAAAAATGACGATTATTAACACCATCATGATCATGGCTTGTGTAAAATAAGTTTTTTAAGACAAAAGTGTCTTTTTTGTTTTGAAATTTTTTTGATATTGTTTTAATGTTTATTTAAACATTAAAACAATATCAAAAAAATAGTATTCAAAATTTTAGTTTATACAAAACTGTGTTCCTTGTTTGTAAGGGGAGAATCAACTTAAATTTGTTAGCGAAAAATAAAAAATAAAACATTAAACTTTCGATTACAAAAGTAATAACACTCTAGTCACTTTCCATCTCTGTTTGCAGGACAAAGTTTTAAAATTGACGACATTCTTCCCCGCTCTTCAAATCTGTATCGGTCAATTCCATATGACTTGTACTGTTCATCATTGCAATCCGTGATTAGTGATAGAATCTGCAAGAAATGTCACCAGTACTTTGCATCAATAGTCATGCTGCGCAGTCAGAGTGTAACACACATCCAAGAATCGACCGTTCCATCCGTAAGAATTAGGTCTCAGAGTCATTGCACGTTGGCAGCAAGAAATAATGGAAAAAATGGAATGACTTTTCCCAAGGATACTGGTGTCAACGCTCTCCCAGTTTATTCCATGAAGGAACATATTTATATTTAACATGGAAAAATAATTTTTGCTAATTTTTTAATTTCAGCAATGTTTCATGTTTTATTTGTTAGAATTTATCAAATAAGATCCAATTACATTAAATATTTAAGTGTGTTAAAAATATTTAAAGTTGAATTTATTTGTTAAAATCATTTTAAAATTCATTTTATTTAACTATTTCATTTAAAATGCAAAATATATGTGAGATAAGAGTTTCTTTATAGTAGTAAGATAAAAAAAGTTACAATTACTATTATATTGAACTATAATAAGCTACAATTAAACGTTTTGAAAATATTATACCTTTATAATTATAAAATTTTGTAAATGACTTGTGAATAATTGATTAAAATTTAATAATGATAAAGATTTTTGTGTTTTTTGTGACGTAATATTCTAGAGGGAGTCAAACTTTTTGTGACGTCTTTTGATGTGGGGAGGGGTAAAAATTGTAATAAATTGCGTGATGTTGTTTATAGACAGCCCCCTAGCTCTACACAATAGTCACTATATTGGAAGATTTAATTTTGGTCATTATAATCACATAATGTGACCATCATAAGCAGTTGTTAGTTTTTGATATTTTCAAAAAAATCAAATTTTATTTAAAAAATTTGTAAGGATTAAGATTCATAAATCATAAAATAAGAAAGTGACATAAAACGTTTCTTGAATATGGGCATTGTCAATTATATTACCAAAATATACATAAGAATGTTACCACTAAACAAAAATATTTTTACTTCAATTATAGAAAATTCCAGTTTCTTTTTAACTGTTGACTAACAAATAACACAGTAAATTTCATATCATATAAATTTACTAAATTTAAACCATGTTTCAACAGTAAACAACCTATTAAAGTAATAACAATTAAAAAAAAAAAAAGAAATAATACAAACTAAAGATAATTATAATCAGTAATACAAAATTTGATTTGTAAAAAAAATGCAGTGACTAATATTAAAAGTAATGTGTGTGTATATATATATATATATATATATATATATATATATATATATATATATATATATATATATATATATATATATATATATATATATATATATATATATATATATATATATATATATTATATATATATATATATATATATATATATATATATATATATATGTGTATATATATATATATATATATATATATATATATATGTGTGTATATATATATATATATATATATATATATATATATATACATATATATATATATATATATATATACATATATATATATATATAATATATATATATATATATATATATATACATATATATATATATATATATATATATATATATATATATATATATATATATACACACATTAAATCTGGGTATGTTTATACTTATATCAAATTAGGATGTTTCAAAAATATTTGGAGTGATTGGAGCTTGGGAACTACAAATAACCCAAAACTTGTGCTCCCAGCCCCTAAAATGGTAAAACACTAAAATAATATTAAATGAAATTTGAAATCTGTCAATGAATATAAATTTAGTTTAGAATAACAATAAAATTAAACTCAGTAATTTATTGCCAGCAGTTATTTCTTAACTAAAATAAATATTAATATAATGACTATGTACTAAATAAACATTTTATTTTACATTAGAAAATGTGGTTCAAAGCTCAGTGGCTTCAAATTTTATTGCTAGAGTTGGCTATTTGATTAGCGATAGATATAATCTTTTTGGACGTCATCTTGGTTTAAACGACTATGATCTTAGGAACATTAATCATGACCATGCATCAGCTCAAGCAAAAGCGGTAGCTGTTATTGATAAGTGGATTGAGTCTAATGGGAAACAGTCATGGGTACAGTTAAAAGAAAAGTTGATAACTTTTTAATGTCAAGGAATAGTTCAAATTATTGAGGAAGAGTTTCCATCAGGTAAGTAACATTTTTATACTGATATAATATTAAATTGTTTTCATGCCATTGGAAAGAGCTGCAATTCCTTTTTTAAAGGTAAAAAATAAATGGAAAAAAAAGTTATGAGGTTTTATGTAAAAACCTTTGAATACAAGTATTGAATAAATTGAATGTTAATGAAACTGAAAGCTTGTATTAAATAATAGATGTAATAGAAGTGGACTATATTCTTATATTAGCCTATAGCGGTCAGATATTTTTGCAAAGCACCAGTTAATATATCAAGATTTTCCCTACATTTAATGAGAGTTCATTAGCTTTAAGCCAATTATTTACTTTTATCAGCTCTATATTCATATTACCATATAGCCAAATATTATCACTGTTGGATATTAACAAATAGGTATATATAAATGAATATATAAATATAACCATATATAAATGAATTTAATTTTACAGATACATTACAGAAGTCTTTATTTATATATATAAATTAAAAATGTACAGGTATACGAACCGCAAAAACACCAATAAAAGCACATCTCAATAATTTTTTTATTATTTGTTTTTGAGAAAAACTGTATTAAATTTGTTTAGAGTTGCTTAAAATCAGTTCTTCTCAGCTAGTTTGATTGATTCATTCTCAGCTGGTTTTGTTGCTATTGTTAACTGAACTTTTGTTGTTATTTGTATGTGTACCCCAAAAACTGCATTCAATTTATCAGTATTATCTCTGCAGCTAGTAAACCTATGAAGCTGAAATTTGGTGTGTCCTAATATTATTTGATCTGCTTTAAATAAAACTAGTTACTGCTAACTTAATCTTGGAAAAAATACCCGATGCACCACAAAAACCACAATATAGGTACCCCAAAAACAACATTAATGTTTTTAAAATAACATTTTATAGGCTATACATGTGTTCTCGTTTTTTACTATATTGATTTTATGTAACCTCTTTACATAAAATCAATATAGTAAAAAACGTTTATATTATGTAAGTGTATTCTACAAATAGAGTGTTAAATGTTTTTAAAGTTAAATATATATATATATATATATATATATATATATATATATATATATATATATATATATATATATATATATATATATATATATATATATTATATATATATATGTATATATATTATGTAAGTGTATTCTACAAATAGAGTGTTAAATGTTCTTAAAGAACACAGCAATAATAATGAATTAAAATAGTAAAAATAATTACATAATTTTCTTCAACAGCTTGTTTCTCTATCAATAGGTTCATCAGGAAGAATGTCTAAACATCAAAATATAAAAAATTTATTTAACAGGAAGTTAGAAACTGTTATAATTAATTATGTAATAACTGTATTTAATTTGTAACCAGGAAGTTGCATCATTTATATATACTAGCTGTCATGACCCGTACAATACGGGTTGTGGTAAATCTAATCCACACCCAACCATTTTTAAACTTGTTTATAATTTAGTCTTTATACTTAAACTTATTTTAGTAAACAACAAAAAATAAATTAATTTAAAGTTCTGTTAGTTCGTAAAATGCCAACTTTTTGCAAACCATAATTCTATTGTTTGTTAATTTATAATTAAAATTCTAATTTAAATAATATTTAAAAAATTGATGAGCAATTGTTTTAAATATTATGACTGTTGTGCTGATTAAAATGTCTTGGCTTGCTAAAAAGTATGCAGTTAGCATTTTATTGACTACATGAAGTTCTCGGCTTTTGGTTAATTTTTAATTTACTATACTTGAGAACTATTTAGTATTTTTAATTATTAAATTGATAATTTCTACATAATAAAATAATAAAAGTATCTTTAGCATATAAGACAGTTGCCTATCAATTCTTCAGGTGTTTTTGGAAACTTATGCTATGATAACTCTCTCATAAGGATTTGTTTAAAAAGCAAATTTGGACGTTGAAAAATGGGCCATGCCAAAGAGGCCTAGTTATTTTAATTAAGTTAGTTTTATCTGTTTGATATGTTTTCTAAAAGCTTTTCTCTAAAAAAACACTTAACAAATTCATACAATTAAGCTGTTTTTACTACGAAATAAGGAGAATAAATTTTTAAACCTATTGTTTGTGCAATCGAGACTTAATGCAAATGAAAACCGTCCTGATAGTACACAGGGTGATAAAAGTATAAATGGTTTACATATAAAAAGTTAACAGAAATATAAAAAAACAAAGCAAAAATAGCCAATATATCTATTCAAAACTCTAAAATTCTAAAATATATATAGATAAAAAATATAGAAACTTATTTGAGAAACAAATTAAAAAGTTTTCTTGAGATAAAATACAAAAAAAAAATTAAAAAAATATATTTTAATATATTTTTTTAATTTTTTTATCATAATACTTTTAATTACAATAAATACAATTAAATTTGAAACATTCATTTATTATTACATATCTTTTAGTATATGGTATCAAGCTTCGTTTTAGCTTTTTGAAAACAATCAACATTCAGAATATTTCTTAAATTCTACAATGTAGGAACATTCAAAATCAATCATAGGAGAAGAACCTAAAAATGGAACATAATTATTATTGAATACACTTAATACACATCAAATTGTTATGTACTTTATTCATTTGAAAACTCAAAAATGTGACTAAACAGATAACAAATAAGAAACTTACTTAGTGAGGTTGTTTATCTTTTGTGAAAGTTATGAGATTTACTATTGCAAGTTTGGATTAACAACTTTTTTTAAAAAAGCAAGGCTAAAATAAATGATCAAAATAAAAAAATCTAACCCAATAATCCAACACATATCCTACCCAATAATCATTTCAAAGTAAAGACCCAGACATGAAAGTAAACCAAATCATCTAATCTATCAACACAAAACAACACAACGAAAGTGTAAAAAAAGGATTTGAACCCACACAAAGCCCTTTAACCGCTTTTAGCATGTTTTAAAGGAATAAAATATAATCTGTCTTGTATTAATGTAATTAATGTATTAACTGGAAATCAAATTATTAATATATAACAACAATAAAAATATATATAAAAAAAGTATGTTTACAAAAAAAATTTGACTAAATTTGCATTATTAATAAAGGATTTAGAATTAAGGATCAATAAAGGATTATAGAATACTATAACATAAACACTAATTATAGACGCAGCGTTTTTTTTTTATGTACTACTCACTCTCCTCCTCAACATATGTACATATATATAAAAAGGTGGGGGATGCTTTAGCTCTAAATTTGAACCCAAACACTGCCAGAGTGGGCCCTCTATATGTTCTGCAAAATGGTTAAAAAGACATTGTAAGATATCTAAATAAAATTAAATAATGACATAAAAAAAGTATAGAAGGCAAAATAGCACTGCAAACCAATTAACCTGTTGCTGATTAAACAATCAAAACCTGTAAGAAAAAATACTTTAAGCGTAACAGAAAAAAATTTTTATAACTAAAAAAACAAAAAAATGTTATTTAACCAGAAATTAAAATTATTCTTACCTTGTTTGCAAAAAAACTAATTTTTATTCAAACTATTAGCTAATGATCAACATAGTAAACTTAAAATAATTCAAGCTTACTAAGTTAAAACCATATTTAAACAGTAGACAAAGTAAACAAATAGTCTATAGTGCACTAAAGTAGAACTAAAGAAATAAAATAACAACTAAATTTAAAATATTTTTAATACATAATTCTTGCAGTTAAAAACATAAAAAAATAACTCTACCTTCACAAGATAATAAAGGTAAAATTGTTATATTAAACTAAAAATAAATAAAAAATTATTAAGGCGTTAATTTTTTCTTAAGTATGATCCTTTTAATTAAAAACAATAATATTTTCTTGAACAGATAAGGACACACTGACGAAAATCTTATTGCTTATTCTAGATATAGAAAACTTTGTTTAAAATTTGACTATTGTACCCCCTCCACTTTGAAACCCATTGGACATAAAAATACAAACTGCTATTCAAATCAAACACATTTAATAGCATTTTCATTACATTAAAATAAATACAAACTTTAAAACTTAAGATAAAGATATATTCAAATTTAAAACTTACAATATATGATAAGCTATGAGACTGTAATTAAAATAACAATCACATAAATATTGTTATTTAGTATTTAAATAATTAGGAACTAAAAAAGTAAACTTGAAAGATTTTTTAAATGTAAATTCAACTTAATAAAATCTAACATAAATAAAATAACACTGTACTAAATAATTAGAATAATGTAAAACATGTTTGAGTATCTAACAAAAAAAAGCAATAAAAAATAAAAAAACAACTTACTTATATCTAAAATAAGCTCATCTTCAGCTTCTATAAAATTAACAGCTTGTTGAGAAACATTTTCAAAACATCACTCACAAAACAGAACATGTTTCATTAACTAAAACATTAAAAAGTCAAACATTAGTAGCTATAAAAACAGATTGAAAATTACAAAATACAATTATAAATAGAATTCATAAATAAAAGTATATTGAATAATTATAGTTTTACGATAATGATTAAAGAAAAGTTTAAATAGCAATTTAAATACTTATGGCATACACATCTACAGTGCCTCGTGCATCTCATGTTAGTTAAGTCATTAAAGTAATTCATGCGTTCTCGGTTAAGAATGTTTAACAGGGGTGTCAATAAATAGCTGTAAATCTCTAAATTTCCTTTTTATGTATATATTAAATAGTTTTAAGTTTTAATTATTTTTAAAAACAATAAATTTTATAAAATGATTTAGTTTAAATACAAAATTAGAATTTTTAATTTTAAAGTTCTTAATAAAAATATAATTTTTAAACCTCCTTACTGTTTTTAAAAAAAAGTTAAAGTCGCCGCGTGACAAGTTAATCATTAAACCTTCCACGCGGTTTTGTTGTTTAAAATGCAAATCAAAAGTTATATAGATTTTATATTATATATATAAACATGTTTTTTACTAATTTTTCTTGCACAAACTCAATTTATTTGTAAATAAACTTAAAAGTTTTACTA